ATATACAACTGTTTACACAGTCCCAGTGTGCTGAAACCAGGCACTTCATAACTTCTTTTGGTATTCAAGTTCCATTCACAATAAATGTTATCATCTATTCCCAAAACATGTGCATGTGCACACACACACACACACACACACACACACACACACACTGCTGCTGTCCAATAAATAAGTGAGTAGGCTCAGTCCTCCACACAGCAGCCTGCACCCCCAGCCTTACGCTGTACCTCTGTTCTAGACTGTGTTCTCCCACCTGCCCCTGCCCCTTCCTGGACTCTTCTTTCTATATTTTTGCCTTGGCATCAACCAAGCTACAGAGATCTTTCTCTCCTCCTTGAATTGTCTTTAAAATCCTAGGAAAAAATGACTTTCTTTCCACCAGAGCAGTCAGACTAGCAGCTCCTTCTTCATCACCTCCAACATCCTCACATACATCCTCATATACAAGGAAAACCTATGCAGGATGTGTTACTTTTGTTGTTATTTGGTTTTTGTTTTGTACTGGAGGGTGTTATTTTTTTTGAAGAGGGGTCTCACCTCCTGCCTCCACTTTCCAAGTTCTCAATCACTAGGATTACTGTGTGTGCCACCATGCACTACATCAGTACTATTTTAAAAGGGCTAGAAAATAAAATTGGGTCTGGATTTCTGACTTGGTAGCCTTTCTCTCCCTGCTTCCAATCCTAGTAGCTAGCACCTCGTCAAAAAACTTTTAGAGGCTGGAGAGATGGCTCAGCGGTTAAGAACACTGGTTGTTCTTGCAGAAGACCCGGGTTCAAATCCCAGCACCCACATGGCAGCTAACAACTGTCTGTAACTCCAGTTCCAGGGGATCTGATGGCCTCTTCTCTCCTCCTCAAGCATAGCATGACACGGGCCTCTTACCTAATACAGGCAATACACTCACGCACGTAAAATAAAAATAAGAAATAAATTTTTTTTTAAAAAAAAACTTTTTAAGATCTACTTCAGGGGCTGGAGAGATGGCTTAGTGATTAAGAGCACTGGCTGCTCTTGCAGAGGATCTAGATTCGGTTCCCAGCAGCCACATGGTAGCTAACAACTGTCTATGCCACCACACCCAGCTCATTTGTGGTTTTTAAAATTCTTGTTTGAGAAGTCCTTAACACTAATTGCCTGTGTTGGCAATTTTGGCTTTATCAGTTGTGTTGAAGTTTCTTGACTCTGTCATCAGGACAAATGAACTAGATCCCAGAGTGAGAGTTTCTTCCCCTCTTGTGTTCCCTTAAATTTCCCTGTCTTCATACTGCTTCAGTCTCATAAGAAAGACAATAATCCATTCCTGTAGGTGGAGCCCCATGACCTTATTACATCTCAAAGGCCCCACCTCCCAAGACCTTTTCATTGGCAGTTAAACTTCAACAAGAGTTTTGACAAATACAAACCATATCCAAGCCATGGGGGGGTGGGGGGGATGTGCACACAAACACCCATGCAGGTACATGTGTGAGTGCAGGTATGTGTGCCCATGTGTGTATGTACAGGTAGTGGTCGAAGGACAATCTTGGGTGTCATTCCTCAGCCACTGTGCACTTTGTTTTTTGAGACAGGGTCTCACTGACCTCAAATTCGCCAAGCAAATTGGGCTGGCTGGTCAGTAAGCCCAAGGTATATGCCTATTTCTGCCCCCTCCCCAGTGCTGGGATTACAATTGTGTACCGCCAGGTCTGGCCTTTTTTACGTGGGTTCTGGGATCAAACACAGACCCTCATACTTATAAGGCAAGCACTTTATTAATGGAACTATCACCCCAGCACCTCCACAGCTGATGTTAAGCGAGAGTTTATGATCAGATTTCTGAAGCCATACCTCTGGCTACAGTATAGAAGATGCAGTTATTGAGAGTTGAGATGGGTGGTGTACCAGGTAGAAAGTGAGAGATAAAAGCTATTGGGACTAAAATGGGTTGCTAAAGAATGAGCTGCATAAATTATCATGAGATTTGAAAGTAGGGCAAACAAGGATATTCATGAATCAGATGGAGGGGGGAAAAGAAAAGAAGAAAGGAAAGTTTTTAGATTTTTGTCTAGTCCCCTGAATGGCACATGGGCTTTCACCAAGATGGGGAACACCTTAATGAACAAAAATCAGGAGGAAAACACGTTATGCATCCATGCAGACAGCCTTCAAAATGCCGCCTGGAAGAAATTCAGAAGTGTGAATACTGTAAAAATGATAGACAGTCTGGAAAGCTTTCTTGTCACCACCACCGTTCCCCACCCCAACCCCATACTTTGTATAAACTCAAAGCGCTCCTCCTCAGTCAGACTTGGGAAGGGGAACAATGGCCAGAACAGACCCATAGAAACTCTATTCTCTCCAGTCTTCAGGGTGTCTTTCTTGAGGTAGAGCGCCTTTCACTAAGTCCCAGTGTTCTTCCTTTGACTAGAGGCACCTGTGCCTAGGACCCACAGGGCTGAGAAAAGGGAGGAATTCTGAGACTTTGCATTTGAGGACACCAGAAAAGAGAGCACTGACCTGGAATTGTTTTGTTCTAACCACTACTTATTTTCTATTGATTTTTTTCACTGGAGATTCCAGTGACAGCAAGTCAAGATGATTTTGCTAATGGAGAAAATGATGAAACAGTATCTAACACCTTAACCTTATCGAATGGCTTAGAAAGGAGAACTAAAACCTACCGTGAAGACAGCTTCGAAGAGCTCCAGTATTTCCCAAACTTCTATGCACTACTGAAAAGCATTGATTCAGGTAACCCCTGTTTATGGCCTTGTAGGAGAGAAATGAAATAGTAATTCTTGGAAATATGTGGGTGGTTTTGTTCCTGTTTTTGGTTTTCAAATACAGTCCCAGATGACGTACACTGTTGGCCAGGGAAAATTGTTCACATCAATTATTTTTTTTTAAAAGCAGTGTACTGGTCATGGAAATATTTAGGAAAGGGTAATCAGGAAATGTGGAGTTTCTGGATAATTTCATCTGTTAACAGACGGTTTATTTGTTCAATAAAGAGTCATAGAACATCTGCTGTGTATAGGTACCTGAATTTGTGCACCTGGGGAGATGAATCACCACCCTGCCCTGACCCAGCTCAGCCTTGGCTCTTAATGCAACTGCTGTTTATTCGCAACCTTTAAAATTTTTTTAATATTTTATTTTTATTTTACGTGTATGCATGTTTTTACCTGCATGTATGTAAGTGCACCCCATGTACATTTCCCACAGAGGTCAGAAGATGGTGTTGGAGTCCCTGGAACTGGGGTTACAGATGATAGTTAGCTATATGGATGCTGGGAAGCAAACCTAGGTCCTCTGCAAAAACAGCCAGTACGTTTAACGGCTGAGCCATCCCTCCAGTCCCATCAACCTTTAAATTTTTTTAAATTACATTTATTTATTTATTGTATGTTTATGTGTGGGGACGTGTGGGGGAATGTGCACGCCATAATGTACACAGGGAGATAGAGGACAACTTTCAGGAGTCAGTTTTCTCTTTCCACTATGTAGATCCCAGGAACTGAACTCAGGTTATCAATCTCAGTGACAAGAGCCTTTACCCATTGAGCCATTTGCCAGCTCCTCAGCTTTTTTAGTGACTTGCTTTCATCTTTATTGAGTTGTAAGTGACATATACATGCCTGTAGTCCCAGCATTTAGGAAACTGAGATACAACAATTGTTAAAAGTTTGATGCCAACCTGGACTGCATAGTGAATATGAGGCCAGCCTTGGCTACATAGTAAGATCCCTGTCCCAAAGACATATGCACAAGCACAAACACCTGAGCAGACAAAAATTTGTATACATTTAAGACTTACAACGTAATGTTTTGTATATGTCTACCCTGAAATGGTCAGGCCAGTGAGTGTGTCTGTCCCCTCACACAGTTGACATTCTCCATTTCTTCTTTTTTGTTTTTGTTATTGTTGTGAGAATCTACTCTCAGCAGATTTCAAGTATGTAACCCAACACAGCTAACTATAGTTACCATGTTGCATAGTCTCCAAACTCATTCATACTGTAGAAAGGAGACTTTATACGTTGCCTAGCATCTCCCCATTTTCCATTTTCCACCCACTCCTAGGCAATTATGACCCTTCTCTCTCTGCTTCTGTGACTTTGGCTATTTCAAATTCCACATACAAGCTGGGCATGGCGGCACACGCCTTTAATCCCAGCACTCAAGAGGCAGAGGCAGGCGGATCTCTGTGAGTTTGAGGCCAACCCCGTCTACATAGTGAGTTCCAGGCCAGCCCCAAAAAACCAAAAAAAAAAAAAAAAAAAAATTCCACATATAGTTGTCCCTCAGTATGCATAGGGGAGGTTCCAGGAGCACCTTCAGATGCCAAAATCCACATTTACTCAGGTCCTTTATAAAAAAAAATGGCACAGGGGTTATGGGTAAAGCTGTGCGGTAGAGTGCCTGCTTCGCATGGGCAAAGGCTTGGGTTCTGAAAGTTCTCAGATGAGGGGCTCAAGGGGACACTGGGAAAGGTTGTTGGGGGTAGGAAATTTATTAGAAGAGTTAGTAATGCCATGGACAGATGGAGAGGCAACAGCATGTCTGGGCTCTGAGGAGAATCAGGCCCCCGCACCACAAAGAGAGAGCATGGTGGGTGCTCTGAGGAGAGGCCTGCAGCCAGGCTCTCCCATTCCCCAGCAGGAGGCTGGGAAGGGGGTGGGGAGCAGGATGTGTGGTTACCAGTGCCCCTTTGGGGTAAACTCTTCCTCTCATGAGAAACTCCAACCCAGGCACCTGGAATTCTGTTAGCTAAAGATTCACAGACAATGTCTCAGTAGGATGTCTGTGGGTATCTGTGAGAGGGGGAGGGCTATTGCAGGGCTTGTGGGCTGAGCAGCAATCTGATCTGAATTGTAACATTACAGGTTTTATAACGAGCACATACACACACACACACACACACACACACACACACACGCATGCATGCACACATGCACCCAGGACATAGCATTCACATATAATCATTACATAGCCTGTTGTAAATAGTATTTTCATATAATCATCAAACATCCTTCTGTTTACTTTAAATCATCTCTAGATTACTTATAACGTTTAACACCATGCAAATGCTATACTGTATTGCATGGGGAATAATGACAAGAAAAAGATCTGTACATGTTCAGTTAAAACGCAGTCATTTTTTTCTTGAACATTTCTGATCCTCAGTTGAATCCATAGATATAGAAGCCACAAGTACAAAACTGAGCATACAGCACTTCTCTGTCTGGCCCATTCCCACTGTCAAAAACAAAACATGGGGAAGGAAATCCAGTCAATTTTAGAAAATCTTTTTCAAAGTTTTCTTCATTTCCTCTTTTAGTGGGAACCTATTTATTGTTCTCTAGATTATTCAAGACATTGCTTTATAGGCATTCTTAGCTGTGGTCGTCTAGGGAGTTAAAATGAAAGGAAGCCAGGAACCCAAAACACATATGAGAAATTGTGGGGGTTTTGTTTTGGGGTTTGTTTTGTTTTGTTTTGTTTTTTCTGCTTTTTTGAGATCTCCCTGAGATCTGAGGCGGTTTTCTTCTCTGGCCTTCAATGTTCTTTCTTTATTTATTTATTTTGGTATTTTTGAGACAGGGTCCCCCTGTAGCCCCAGCTGGCCTGGAACTCACTGTGTGGAACAGACTGGCCTTGAACTCACAGAGATCCACCTGCCTCCGCCTCCCGAGTGCTGGGATTAAAGGCGTGCACCACCACACCCCGCCTTTTTGGTCTTTTTTGAGACAAGGTCTCCCTTTAGCCACAGCTGGCCTCAAACTCACAGGGATTTACCTACCTCTGCCTCTCTAGTGCTGGGATTAAAGGCAAGAAATTGTTTTTGGTAAAACAAATCCTGAGTATATCTAGTTCTCTTCACTCCCATGTGCACTGAGTTATCTGTTTACTTTTGGTTAATCTGCAAAGGATGATAGTGTCCAGCCTTTCTGTTACTGTTCAGGCGACCACCCCACACTGCCATCATGGCTTTCCCTCTCCCTGTTGCAGCCCTATAATGAAAATTTATATAAAGATTTCTGGAATTTTAATCTATTTTCTCCATAAAGTGATATTAGGATGATCTTTCATTCCCAGAGGACGCTGTTCGTCCTTCAGTTTCAGACATTGGCCAGATAGCACTGGCCTCTCTGCTGATATCTGAAGGGTCCGTTCTGAGCCATCTTGTCCCATTGGTTGGCAAACACCCAGCTCAGAACCTCTGTCATCCTGTGAGTCACTTCTCATCAGTGAAGGGCATCAACATGATGCCAAGTGCACAGGTGTTACCTTGGCCAAGCACCAGAATGTCCAAACTCATTTGCCAATTCTGTCCCAAGATCTCCCTGTCCTTCTCCTACTTTTCCTCCTCCTAACCTATGAGTTTTATGATATTTTAATAATTCACTGTATAAAATGTTTATTTTATCTTCCAGGTGGTTTTGTTTTATTTTGTTTTGTTTTGTTTTGTTTGAGACAGATTCTCATGTATCCCAGGCTGGCCTCAAACTAACATTGTATCAAGGGTGACCTTAAACTTCTGATCCTCTGTCCCCACTCCCCAAGTCCTGAGATTACAGGCCTGTATCACCACATCCAATCTCTTCGGTGCTGGATATTGAAAACCACAGCCTTGTGTACATTAGGCAGGCACTGTGCTAACTGAGCAGCCCAGACACTGATTCTTTACCACATATCTCACTGCTACAATATTTTAGATGAAATTGAAACCCTATGAAGAGTTATAGTTTGCCTATTTCTTTTTATTTTTAATTTTATGTGCACGAGTATTTTGCCTGCATGTCCCTAAGTGCACCTGTGTCAAGCAATGTCCATGGAAGCCAGAAGAGGGCATTGGATCCCCTGGACTGGAGTTACAGATGGTTGTTCACCTTTGGGAACTGAACCGGGTCCTTTGCAAGAGCAGCTGGTACTCATAACCACGGAGTCATCTCTCCAACCCTGAATTTGTCCAATTCTAAAAGTGATTTGGTATAGTTATACATTGTCCTATATTCTCAATTAAGTCTTACTTTTTTTTAAGTTAAATGTATGTGGATTTAGCTATAAAGATAGGGAGAGATATTTAAGATGTTATCCTTCATAAATTGACATTAAAAGATGAAATTGCACCCACATGGCAGCTAACAACTGTCCGTAACTCCAGATCCAGGGGATCCAATAGCCTCTTCTAACCTCCATGGGCATTGCACTACACAGGTGCACTTACCTACATGCAGGCAATACACGCATACACATAAAATAAAAATAATAAATTTTTTAAAATTAAAAAAATAAATACACACAGACAATATACTCACACATATAAAATAAAAATAAATAAATAATATTTTTTTAAATAAAGATGAAACAGGCTGGAGAGATGGCTCAGCAGTTAAGAGCACTGACTGCTCTTGCAGAGGACCCAGGTTCGATTCCCAGCACCCACATGGCGGCTACGAACTGCCCTTAACCCCAGTTCCAGGGGAATCTGAAGCCCTCTTCTGACCTGGGGCATTGAATGACGTGGGTGCACTCACATACATGCAGGCAATATACTCATACACATAAAATAATAAATAAATTAAAAGATGAAACTATTGTCCTATTAGTTGTGTTTAAATTGTTTTTGTCCTTTTACACAGAAAAAGAGGCAAAAGAGAAAGAAACTCTGATCACTATCATGAAGACGTTGATTGACTTTGTGAAGATGATGGTCAAGTATGGCACAATATCTCCAGAAGAAGGTGTTTCCTACCTCGGTGAGAGCTCCATTTTATTTTTACTGTGGTTGTTTTCATTGTTCAAAGCAAATTAAGAATTTGGCAATAATTACTTCACTCATTTGATGATTTATGCCAGAGCAGCCCAGATCTCCGGGGTAACCAGAACTGCTCAGCTTGGTGATGCATACAAATAAAATTAGTTGGAAGTTTTCAATTTTGCATCCTAATAAATAAAGCTTGGGGGAAAAAAAACTCCCACATTTTAAAATATTTAACCTTAATAGATTTTCTAATAATCTGCAAGGGAGCAATTTTATTACAATTTTAACTCATTAATTTTTTACTTGTGTTTGGAAGTTTGGACTAAATCTTGATTTTCCTCTCTGAGTTCTGTACATGGCTAGCAGGAATTCTGTACAGAGAATCAGGAGCCTGACTCCTGGTCCCAGCTCTGCTATGCTGGTGAGGATCTGTACCTTGTGGGGTGTTAGTTCTTCATTCATCTGTAAAATTAAGGATGAAACTACTGCTGATGAACCAAAACCTTTTTGTTTACTTATTTTATATATATTAGAGTCTCACTATGTAGCCCCAACAGGCCTGGAACTCTCCATGTGGACCAGGCTGACCTCAGTCTCACAGAAATCCACCTGCCTCTGTCTCCCAAGTACTGAGGTTAAAGGTATGTACCACTACACCTGGCTTTTTATTTTATTTTTGAGATAGGAGCTCATGTAGTCCAGGCTGGTCTTGAACTTGCTATGTAGATGAGGCTGGCCTTGAACTCTTGAATCTCTTGCTGCTACCTTCCAAGTGCTGTGATTACAGATGTGCACACCATGCCTAGCTCCAACACCTATTTTTGTATAGCACACAATAAACTCAAGAATAACTCCCATTTAATCACAGTTGAAATTTTTTAAAGAGTAACATTTTTTTTTATTTTATTTTTTTTATTTTATGTGTATGAGTGTTTTGCCTGCATGTGTGTAAGTGTACCCATGTCATGCAATGCCTATGGAGGTCAGAAGAAGGCATCAAATTCCCTAGAACTAGAGTTGTTAGCCACCATGTGGGGTGCTGGGAACCAAACTTATCTTCTGCAAGAGCAGCCAGTGCTGCCAACCATTGAGCCATCTCTCCAACCTAAGAGTAGCATTTCTTCTTTTTTTAAAAAAAAAAATATTTTTTAATTTTTTTTATGTGTATGCATGTATTGCCTGCATGTAGGTCAGTGCACCCATGTTGTGCAATGCCTATGGAGGACAGAAGTGGACATCTGATCCCCTGGAACTGGAGTTACAGACAGTTGTTAGCTGCCATGTGGGTGCTGGGATTCGAACCTGGGTCTTTTGCTAGAACAGTCAGTGTTCTTAACTGCTGAGCCGTTGCTCCAACCCCAAGAGTAACATTTCTTAATGGAAAAAAAAAAAAAAACTATAAAATTCCTATTTCCGTGCCTGTGAATAAAGTTTTACTGGCACAGGGCCATGTTCATTTGTTTTAGTTCAGTTCTAGCCCCATAGTAGACTTCAGTTCTGCAAAGCCTATCTGGCCACAGACAGAAAAAGTGTGCCAACCCCTCAGTCCTTGAACTTTACAGAAAAACTTGGATAATCTTTTATTTGCATATAGGTTGTTTGCTTTTAATTAACTAAAATTAAATAAAACTGAAAATATAGTTTCTCAATTGTTCTAAGTACCCAATTATTCTAAGTCCCCAATAGTTTGATTTTAAAAAGGACTTTTGTTTCCCTGCAATTTAGTAACTAAACAATACCTTTCACCCCTGTGCTTTGGACAAGGTGACCTCATGGCCTCTTGCTCTGCTGGGGCAAGGAGAAACAAACAGAAGAGGAAATGCCGTCTGTCAGCATGATCCAGAATTACTCAGCAGAAACCTGAATATATTTTTCTATATAAAAATAGTTTTACTGGGTTTTTTTTATTATAAAAAGAGCATATTTATTTTACAAAGTCATTCAGTGCCAAAAGAAACCTAAATGAAAATGAAAATTACTCACAATATCCTCAAAACATTTTCGTTTACAATCTTCCAGATGTTCTGTGTATGTATATATGTATGCATAACTATATTCTTTATTTCAAAGCTCTATTTTTTTTTATTTTATGTGTATGAGTGTATTGCCGGCATGTATGTAAGTGTACCTGTATAGTGCAATGCCCGTGGAGGACAGAAGAGGCCGTCAGATCCCCTGGAACTGGAGTTAAGGACAGTTGTTAGCTGCAATGTGGGTGCTGAGACTCCAACCTGGGTCTTCTGCAAGAACAGCCAGTATTGTTAACCGCTGAGCCATCTTTCCAGCCCCCATGTTCTTTATTTTAAAAAAGAAATGGGTGTCGGGTATGGTGGCACAAATCTGGGAGGCAGAGGCAGGTGGATATCTGTGAATTCAAGGCCAGCCTGGTCTACATAGTGAATTCCAGGTCAGCCAGGGCTACATAGTTGAGACCATGTGAGGAAGAGGGGGCTGAAGAGATGACTCAGTTGTTCAGAGCACTTACTGCTCTTGCAGAGGACCAGGGTTCAGTTCCCACATGGCAGCTCACAGCTATCCTTAACTCCAGTCCAGGGGATCTGACGAAAGGGGATCTGATCTCCACAAGTTCCTGCACACATATGGTACACATAAATTCACACAGGCACACATACACATAGAAATAATAATTAATGGGGCTGGAAAGATGGCTCAGCAGTTAAGAGTACTGGCTGCTCTTGCAGAGGACTTGGTTTGGTTGCCAGCACCTACATGGCAGCTAACAGTCACCCTCTTCTGACCTCCAAAGGCATTGCATGACATGGGTATACTTATATACAGGCAGTACACTCATACGCATAAAATAGAAATAACTAAACTATCACAGTTAGTGTTGCCCAGCCTATTCTTTGCCTTTAACAGTAGAGAAGACATTGTTCAGGACAATATCATATCACCAATGTGACTCAGAACTTCTGTACTTTGTCATTTGTCCTGTGGAAATACATCAGAGACTTGCAAAGGCTTATATATTAGCAGGTAGTCCTACTACCACTTATAGCTAAGTGTTCAACATTAGGTAACTACTAACTACAAACTGCTTCTTAAGTGAAAATCACTTAAAATTAAGTGAAATTAAAAACTAAGCCAGCTAGCCAGGCATGGTGGCTCAAGCCTATAATCCCAGCATTCGGGCAGCTGAGGTAGGGAGGATCACAGGGATCTGGAAGCCAGCCTAAACTGCAGAGAATTCCAGGTCAGCCTGGACTAGAATAAGACTGTGCTTTAAGATAAAAAGACAAAACAATAAAAATGAATAAATAAGTAAAATCTAAGACAGGTGTTGTGGCACATCTGTAATCACTACATTTGGGAGTAAAGGTTTGATACCATTTCTCAGGAAATTAAAGCACATTTCCCCCTCCTTTCTCCAGAAAACTTGGATGAAACAATTGCTCTTCAGACTAAGAACAAACTAGAAAAAAATGCTACTGACAGCAAAAGCAAGCTTTTCCCAGGTAGGATTTACTCAACTATTTTTTTCTAGTTATTAAAAGAACAATTGTTTTTTAAAAATATTTATTTTTATATTATGTGTATGAGCTGTTGTCTGCATGTATATATGTGCACCACATAGGTGCCTGGTGTCTTTGGAGGCCAGAAGAGGTCACTGGATCCCCAGAACTGGAGTTATGGGCAGTTGAGAGCCCACATGTGGGTGCTGGGAACCAAACCCCGGTCTTCTGCAAGAGCAGCCAATGCTCTTAACCTCTGAGCCATCTCTCCAGCCCCAAGTTGTGGATTCTTAACTCTTAACCATTTTATCCTCAGCATAGAAACTGTGTGCATGTTTGTGATAGTGTACTGTGACCCTTTAAAATAATGTTTTCAAGCAGGATTTTTCTTTTTTGTTTTACTTTTAAGAATATTTATTTATTTTAATATTTTATTTCTTATTTTATGTGTATGAGTGTATGGCCTGCATGTATGTAAGTGTACCCATGTCATGCAGTGCCCCTGGAGATCAGAAGATGGCATCAGATCCCCTGGAACTGGAGTTATAGATGGTTGTTAACTGCCATGTGGGTGCTGAGAATCAAACCTAGGTCTTCTGCAAGAGCAGCTAGCACTTTTAACCACTGAGCCATCTCTCCATGTGTATGAGTGTATTGCCTGAATGGAACTGGAGTTACAGACAATTGTTAGCCACTATGTGGGTGCTGGGAATCAAACCCTGGTCCTCTGCAAGCACTCTTAACTGCTGAACCATCACTCCAGTTTCCTGTCTTAACTTTTTATGACAGAGATCAAAGATAGGCCCTCATTCTTGTTAGACAAGCATACTACTACTGAGCTACACACTCAGTCCTCAAGCAGTTTTTATAACCTTCCATAATGACAAAAGCAAGAAACAGAATCATATCACAAATGTGAAAAAAATGCATGCATCTATATATACCACTGTTCAGCAGTTCATTTTTGGCATGAGTCAATAGCTGATTTTTCTTTCTCTTCAATTTTTTCTTTGGTGTGTATGCAAATTTTCATGTGTGTGAAAATATATGTGCACATGTGTATGTTTGTGTAGAGGCCAGAGGGCAACATCAGGTGCCTTCTCCACATTCTGCTTTGTGCATTGAGACAGGATCCCTCACAGAGCCTGGATCACTCACTGAACCTGGAGTTCACTGATTTAGCTACACTGATTGGCCAGCAAGTTCCAGGAACCATCCTGCCTCTGCCTCTCCAGTGCTAGGATTCCAGGCACACACTGCCGCATCTGGTTTTTTACTTGGGTTTTTATGCTTGTGTGGCAAGCACTTTACTGAGCCATTTCCCTGGCCCCTCAATTTTTTTTTCTGTAATAAAAATATTGTTAGCAAAGTCTGTTGCTGGGTATGGTGGTGCATACCTCTAATCCTAGCACTTTCAGAGGCAAAGGTATGAGAACTTCAAATTTGAGACCAGCTTGGTTTACAAAGTGAGAACCTGTTTTATAAAAATAATTTTAGACTGCGAGAGTCTCCTTTATTGCCCATGCATAACCCTTGCTTTCATGTAGTTGCCTACTTCAAGGTTTATGATTTTTAATTCAACATAAGATTTCTAGAAGGACTATGTTTTAAAGTTGAAAGTGAGCAAAGGTTAGTATTTTATATATATATATATAATTTATTATTTTTATTTTATGTGTATTCAGTGTATTGCCTGCATGTATGTGAGTGCACCTGTGTCATGCAATGCTACGGAGGTCAGAAGAGGGCATCAAATTTCCCTGGAATTGGGATTAAGGACGGTTCGTAGCTGCCATGTGGGTGCTGGGAATGGAACCCAGGTCCTCTGCAAGAGCTGTCAGTGCTCTTAACCGCTGAGCCATCCCTCCAGCCCCATTTATTATTTTTTTGACAGCAAGATTCTAAGCCTTGTTTTCACATCAGGGTGATCAGGGGTAAAGGATCATGAAGAAAGGGCGAGAAAGAAGACCTGCCACAACCCCAAGCTAAATCTCAGATTCTACTCTTGAGTAATGGGCTGTTTTGTAAAACCACAAGATGAAGGAAAAACTGGGCAGCTGAAGAGTTCTAGAGTCAGGCATGCTGGTGCATACCTGTAATCCCAGAACTCAAGAGGTCTGCAGGTGGAGACAGGAGGATCGATTCATGGCCTGCCTGGGCTGCTTGAGATCCCGTCTTAAAACAACAGCCTGGCGTAGTGTCGCTGGCCTTTAATCCCAGCACTTGGGAGGCAGAGGCAGGTGGATCTTTGTGAGTTCAAGGCCAGCCTGGACTACATAGAGAGTTCCAAGACAGCTGGGGCTGCAGAGAGACCCTGTCTCAAACAGAACAAAACAAGAATCGTTTTCATTTGTAATCAAGACTCACCTAGCATATCCTAGTTGATATGACACTAATTAAAGACAAATATGTCTGAGGGTATAATTCAGTGGTAGAACATTTCCCTAGCATGTATGAGACTCTGGGTTTGATCTCCAGCCTAGAGAGGGAGAAAGGGAGGGAGGGAAACAGGGAAAGAGATCGTGAGGGAGGAAGAAAGGGCGGGAAGGAGGAGGGAGGAAGGACAGACTTACAAATAACAGGCTCAGTGTTACATGGCAGTTACACTGGAGGCTGAGGCAGGAGGATTGCTTGAGCCCAGAAATTGAAGGATAGCTCAGTGAAATCCGATCTTATTTTTTTTTATTTTTTGAAGTCTTATGTGTATGTGTGTATTGCCTGCATGTAGGTAAGTGTACCCGTGTGGTGCAATGCCCACAAAGGACAGAAGAGGCTGTTGGATCCCCTGGGACTGGAGTTACAGACAGTTGTTAGCTACCATGTGGATGCTGGGATTCGAACCCAGGTCTTCTGCAAGAACAACCAGTGTTCTTAACCACTGAGCCATCTCTCCAGCCTGCAAAAAAAAAAAATCCCATCTTTAATAAAATAATAATAAAGTAAGACAAACACTCCACCCTCCAATGGCAGTGTGGCAGAAGGGAGAGTGCCCATTTAGAATCTAGAAAACTGGAAGATGGGGCCCAGTCTCTTAATTCAGTGGGTGACTTAAGCATCTCTTCTTCCGGCCTCAGTTCCCTCTTGTGAAGTGAGGGAAGAGGGTTAGGATTAGATAGATAATCACTGAGATCACTTTCAGCTCAGAAAACATGTGACCTCAGTTTGTTTTTGCATTAAGAATTAATGAAGTTAACAGGACTGAAGAAATGACTCAGTGGTTAAAAGCACTGGCTGCGATTCCTAGCACCCAGTTGCCGGCTATGAACCATCCAATGCCCTTTTCTGACCTCCATGGCTTTGCAGAACATGAGTACACTGACGTACGTGTAGGCAATGCACTCACATACATAAAATAAAAATAATAAATAAAATAAAAAAGAATTAACGACGTTAGGAAGTGATGTAATAACAGCAGTGTGCTATCTGACCGCAGTGCCTTCGGAGAAGAGTCACGAAGAAAGCGACAGTACCAAGGAAGAAGCTGCCAAGATGGAAAAGGAATATGGAACCCTGAAGGACTCCACGAAAGACGGTAACTCCAGCCCCGGAGGAAAGACGGATGGAGCGAAAGGTCTGAAACTGACAGCTCTAGGTTGGCAATGAAGTTGGGGAAGCAAAAGCTTTCAACACTCAAAGTAGGGGGATCCAAAATCAAGCCCGCCACAGTGTGATCTGCATAGGATTAGCAAAATAGTGTGGCTCAAATTCAAGCCCTCCACAGCAAGATCTGCATAGTTAAGGTTAGCATGTGGAACCTTCACTTGAATAACAGCATGGTTTTGTTTTGTTTAATTTTATTTGTTTTGTTTTTGTTTTTGAGACAGGATTTCTGTGTAGCCCCAGGTGACCTGGTATTCTCTATGTAGAGCAGGCTGGCTTCTATCTCACAGAGATCCTCCTGCCTTTGCCTCCTGAGTGCTGGGATTAAAGGCTGTGCCACCACGCCCAGCTGATTTATATTTTATGTGTATGATTGTTTTACCTGCATATGTGTAAGTGCACCATGTATGGGCAGTGGCCAGAAAAGGGTGTTCAGTCCCCCTGGAACTGTGGAAAGGTGTTGGATCCCCCTGGAACTGGAGATAGGGATGGTTGTTGGCTGCTATGTGAGTGATATGAATCGAACCTAAGTCCTCGGGAAGAACAGCCAACGTTCTTAATCACTGAGCTATCTCTCCAGTCCTGCCCCTAAACAGTATAATTTAAGAGTCTTGAGTTTTCTGGGATGGCAAGTTGATTTCATTCTTTGGAGGTCTTTAGTGTTCAATGAGCTTTTTGTGCTTAGGAAGGAATATTCATGGATATTTATACTTTCTTTAATATTTAGTTTATAATCTTATTATCGAGCAATATTTATTTCTTTTTAGGGGATAAAAGGTTTATTCGGCTTACAATTCCAGGTTTCAGTCCATAACAATATTTATTTTTTTAACTTTGTTTAGTTTTCTGAGACCGGATTTCACTCTGTAGCCCAGGCTGATCTGGAGCTCTCTTTGTAGGCAGACTAGTTTCAAACTCATAACAAATCTTCTGCCTCATCTTCCTCTGTACCAGAATCACAGATGAAAGCAATATTTCTTTTTATTTATTTTGGTTTGAAACAGGGTCTCACTATGTAGCTCTGGCTGGCCTAGAAATCACTCTGTAGACCAGGCTGGCCTTGAACTGATACTCACCTGCCTTTACCCCCTGAGTGCTGAGATCAAAGGTGTGTGCCACCATGCCCAACCTACAATATTTCTTTTAATTTATTTAATATTTCTCTAAATAATCACACTATTGCTTACTCAACTAGGTCATTAAAATATTTGTATTTAGCAAAGCAAGATTCCTTAATTACTTTCCCAATGATGTAGCATAATAAATACCTATAAGGACTTGATAAAAATCACAAATTCAAAGTATCAAATTTTCTTTAAAAAGTTACCTATGAAACATAACATAAAATTATATCATCTTAGGATTTCTTTTCCTTTCTTTCATTCATTCATTCTTTTTTTTTTTTTTTTCGGTCTTTTTGAGACCAAGCTGGCTGGAACTCAGATCCTCCTGTCTCTGCCTCCCAAGTGCTGGGATTAAAGGCACACATCACCATGCCCAGCTTCATTTTAGGATTTTACAAACTCTCCAGATATCCCTCTAAGAAAAAACTTAATGAGGCACTAAGTTCTAAATTATTAAATCTTTTGATTGCGGGATAGAAGGCAGATCTGGTGGTATAGTTCAGCTGTTTGAGCCTCTTTTATTACATCATAAAAACTGAACATCCCTGTGTCTCAAACCCTTCTTTCTGAAATGTGGAAACTTTATCAGAAGCTGTGCAGAGATGCTGGACCTTGCCTTCTGCTTCCTTCATTATGAGATATCGCCCTCTCTTGTGTAATTGCAACCCACCAAGTCCCACCTCCTAAAGTTTCCACAACCTCCCTGTAGTGTCACCCTGGGGACCAGGTCTTCAACACCTGTATCTAAGGGGGCCATTCCAGATATGAGCTGTAGCAAAGCATCTGGAGGCTAAGGCTGGGGAAAGATTTCACCTTCCCTTAGGGTTTCCATCTGATAATGATGCAAAGAGAGGAGAGTAAAGCTATGCTCTTCTATTGTTACTCTGTAATGGCTCTCCTGAAACACTGGGAAGGTGGTTGAGATTTAGGGTTTAAATTAGTTTCCTACCTCATCATTTAGAAATGTACTTTATTCACACCACCCCTGACTCCATTAGTCTGGGTAAAAACAAATGAGTCTAATATAGTTTAGAAAACACCAAACTGAGCATAAGCTAAGGTTCCAACATTTTTGTAAAAATAATTAATCCTCGAAAGAGCAGACTAAGATTTATTTTTGTCTTACAGTTGCTTGTTTGTGCTTTTGTTTTGTTGTTGGTGGGGTTTTTTTGTTCCTTTGGTTTTTTGGTGGCTATTTTGCTTCTGTTATAAAATCCAGTGAGGAAGCACCCATTGTCTCTATACAGAAAATAAATGCATACAAGGGATGACTGGGTTTCTCTTTGTTTTTTGACAAGTTCTTGCTATGTATCCCTGACTAACTTAGAACTCACTATGTAGCCCAGACTGGCCTTGAAATTGCAGCAATCCTCCTGCCTCAGTTTCCTCAGTGCAGAGACTAAAGTCCTGTGTCCCCATGCATAGCTAAGAATAGTTCTTTCCCCCTGTTTATGAGCAGGCATGTGAAGAACAGGTTTTCCTCAGGAGAGAAAGCTGGAGGTGTTGCAGAGTAGAGCAAGGGATAAGGTCATGGCCTGACTAAAACCACTTAAGGAACTGATTGTAAGCAGAGCACACTGTCCAGAATATTTTCATGGAGTCTCTTTTGGTCCTTCAATAGAGGTGATGATCCGATATATCTACAGCAAATATTTCTTAACTGTGCCAAGCAGGTGCTAGACTATGAACGATACAAATAGGAATAATAATAACAACAACAACAATATACTATGCTTATATCACTTCACTTTACAAACTATATTACGTGCATTCTATTCCATAAAAATACAATTTAATTATCAGTGATGAAAATGACAGTTTACTCTTAAATATAATTTAGTTAGACAAGCTGGAGAGATGGTTCAGTAGTTAAGAGTGCTTGCTGCTCTTCCAGAGGACCAGAGTTTGGGTCCACATTGTGTGACTTGCAACCACTTGTAACTCTAGCTCTAGGAGATCCAACACCTTCTTCTGACCTCCACAAACACCCACACAGATGTAGCATACACACACAGACACATACACATAAATAACAATAAAAATAAATCTTTAAAATGATAATGTAGTTAGACTATTTAAACGGTTGCTCCTGCTGGGACTCACATTAAGAATACGTTTATTGGAGCTGGGGAGATGGTTCAATGATTAAGAGCACTAGCTACTCTTACAGAGGACCTGGTTTCAGTTCCCAGCACCCACATGACAGCTCACAATCTAAACTCCAGTTCCAGGGACTCCAACACCCTTTTCTGACCTCCAAGGGCAGACTAGCACACAGTGGCACTCGTATATACATGCAGGCAAAACACTCATACACATAAAATTTTTTAAAGGAATGTTTTATCTATTTTATTTACATTTATTTATTTATTTATTTATTTATTTATTTATTTATTTTTGACAAAGTCTCAGGTAATCTAAACTGGCCTTGATTTCACTGGGTAGCCAAAGCTAGCCTTGAAGTTCTGATCCTCCTGCCTCTACCTCCCAAGTGCTAAGATTACAGACAGGAGCCACTGTTCCTGGCACAGATTAAGGATTCTTTTACGTGTTGACTTCTAAAGTTATTCAAATGATTCAATAGTTCTTTCTAAATTTAGGAATATGCCAATAAAGGAAAATTTATTCTAATTCTAACCATGTCTAGAAACTTGCTTAATTTTTCTCTGGAGACCAAAGGAACACACTTTAAAATGTTCCATTATCTAAGTCAGTCAGATATTTACTCATAGAATTTTGCCAGTCAGATATTTACTCATAGAATTTTGGTGTGTGAATTACTGAAAATCTTTTTTAAAAATCATCCAAGGGATGAGATAAGCATTATAATGCCATAGACACATTCCAAGGCCAGCATTTGTCAAGCCATGAATAGATGATACAATCAAGTTAAAAGGTGACCTCTGAGGCGACTTTCACCTCAATGTCTTCTCTTTCCATACTTTTTAAAATAGGAACCAGAAGTCAGCTTATTTACTGAATAACAGCTCATATGGATCTTATTGTTTAAGCAGCATAAAAGCAGACAATTCATGTCTCCATCCAAGTCTTAAGTCATTCTGTTAAAATTTCCAAAAACAATCAAGTCTTCTCCCCTGAGCCAGCAAGTGGGACAGGAGCTCAGCACAGACATGGGAATCCTGTATCCACCCAGGTCTCTGAGGGACAGCAAAAGTATCTTCTCCTATATAAAACCACAAATTGCCTTTTCAGATTTTTCCCTTAATTAACAAACCAATGAAACAACATCTAAGAGATGTGACTGGCTCAAGATCTCATGAGTTACCACTGGTAACTCCTAACTCCCAATCCAGGGTCTTTAAGTATTTCTCACTGCATCTAAATGGACATGCAAAATATTATCACCATGGAGAAATAATTATTCTTTCTCCTCTTCCTCCTTCTCTTCTTCCTCTTTCTTTTTCCTCTTTATTTCTCCTTCTTCTCCCCCCTCCTTTTTTTGAGACAGGGTCTCATATCTCCCAGGCTGGCCTTAAACTCCCTATGTAACTGAGGATGACTCTGAACTCCTGATCCTCTTGCCTTTGCCTCTTGACTACTGAGGTTACAGGCATGCATCACCATACCAATTTTATGTAGTGTTAGAGATCAAATCCAGGGCTTCAAGCATGCTAGGCAAGCTTTCTACCGATTGAGTTATATCCCTAATACCACTATGGAGAAATGCTTGAAAGGAAGCCACTACTAGCATTCATGACATTCATGATACCAGTGTCAGTTGCCTTGATATATGCAGTTCAAAACAATAATAATCATGCAATATGGGCATTGTTTAAACATTATGTCAATAAAAGCTTTTATAAACACTTTTTAAAAATTATATTTA